CTTTTACTCAGGAACTACCAGCTTTTAGCCACAGAAGATCCCTCACCCTCACGTGACCTCCTCACCACACACTGAGATGGACCCCTCTCTCCGCTGGAAACTGTTCCTAGAAACAATGGCCGCAGACGCCTGGCTTCTGGCACCCGTATCCTCTTGGCACCACCATTGGAATCAACAAGTCCTCGACCTATGGTTACAGGGAACCTTCATTGATTTCCAACCTGAAGAAGCCCACATCTACCCGTCCTTACTGCGGGGAGTCCTATCAACCCTCTCCTCCCGGTCCTCTAGCCCTCACTCCCTTCTCCGCCCCCGTTCAGCAGGAAGCAGTCAGAGAGAAAGCAACGTCCACAACCCCTTAGAGGAGAAAGGGGGGAATGAAGGGCCCCCACCCATAAGATGGTGAACTCACCCCTCACCCCCCCTAATCCCAGCACCTAGCCAACAGCCACCAGCCCCGTAGAAGTGACACCTCAATCAGCTCATGCCCCTTCCTACATAACCCAACACCTTTCCCTAATAAAGCGGAATTCTCTGGTGAATTGCTGCTGTGTGTCGCTCCTTTCCTTTCAGTTACTATTTGCAGTTTTATGGCTTCTAGGCTAAATAGGACAAATCGTGTTATTAGGTTAAGTAGCACTATCTGGAGTTGGATTTTCCTTTTTGGAGCAACTTGACAAGATTAAGAATGCATGGCTGAATATGAGGACTAGAAAGAGTAAAATTTTAATTTAAATGATGGGAGAAAACTAAAACATCTGGAGACTCATAGCTACATATTTTGGGGAAACTAGAATTCTGGATCTAGTCTATGTCCCAATGACTAGTACTAGAATTTAGTACAGATAAGGCTGCATTATTGAAACAATACTTTCCTCTAAAATCACCCTCATTTTTATTTATTTATTTTATTTTGGTATCATTAATCTACAATTACATGAGGAACATTATGTCCCCCCCCACACAAATACCATTACAGTCACTGTCCATTAGCATAGTAATATGCTGTAGAATCACTACTTGTCTTCACTGGGTTGCACAGCCCTCCCCCGTGCCACACCCCCACATTATACATGCTAATAATAATGCCTTGATAATGTGAAGCAAATAATCCATTTTCCTTTTTCTCCTGCCCTTATCCCTCCCTCCCCAGCCATCCTCCTCAGTCCCTTTCCCTTTGGTAACTGTTAGTCCATTCTTGGGTTCTGTGAGTCTGCTGCTGTTTTGTTCCTTCAGTTTTTCCTTTGTTCTTATACTCCACAGATGAGTGAAATCATTTGGTACTTGTCTTTCTCCACCTGGCTTATTTCACTGAGCATAATACCCTCTAGCTCCATCCATGTTGTTCCAAATGGTAGGATCTGTTTTCTTCTTATGGCTGAATAATATTCCATTGTGTATATGTACCACATCTTCTTTATCCATTCATTTACTGATGGACTCTTAGGCTCCTTCCTTTTCTTGGCTATTGTAAATAGTGCTGCGATAAACATAGGGGTGCATCTGTCTTTTTCAAACTGGAGTGCTGCATTCTTAGGGTAAATTCCTGTTAGTGGAATTCCTGGATCAAATGGTATTTCTATTTTGAGCTTTTTGAGGAACCTCCATACGGCTTTCTACAGTGGTTGAACTAGTTTACATTCCCACCAGCAGTGTGGTTTGGCTTCACTTTTGATGGGAAGTGGGCCAGAGTTGTGTGGAAGTTCTTTTCGTAAGTCATTTCCCTAAAAGGGAGGCAGGGGTGTGGGGTGTGGTGAGCAGCACCAGGTCGGCAAGCCCTTGTAATAGGGAAGATTTACAATGACAGCAACCTAGCGGTGACTCCACTCTCTTGCCTCCCTCCTCAACACAAACAACACTACACGAGGACAGTAATTTACGAGATGGCTCCCCTCCGCCTCACCCCACCCCCTCAACACAAACAAAAAACCCCACTCCCTTGGTTTCCCACCTTGCTGAGCAAGGGTTCCCAAGGTTCACTCCCTAAACTCCCTCCCCCTTGTCTGCTCGCTTGCTGTGCACACAGGAATGTTACAGATAAGGAAGCAGAAAGATATATATTGCTCCCTTTTCCTTTATTCGGGGCTCAGACTTTTTGGGAGATTGCTCCCCTCTGAGCTCACCGGTGTGAAATAAAGCCTCAACACTGCAAGACCTCCGAGTGCCGCTTGGTTTTTCCGTCGGTGACCCAGTCCAGGCTTTTCAGTATTTTCCGTAACATTTGAATACTCAGAAAAAAACAGGAACTCTAACAAAACAAAGCAGCCGCAAAACCAGAGAAGTTAGAATGTCAGGGACCTCTTCCAGCTGGCCCTCTCCAGTCCTTTAAGTACTTCATCCTAAACCTCTGGAGAGACTCAGATCCACCTGTGACAAACGCCCAGTGACAGCCTCAGCCATCGCCTGCCTTTTCCCCGCTCGCCCTCTCTCCCCATCCTCTCTCCTGTCCACCAGCCCCCACTCAGCTCTCTCTTCCTCTGGTAGGGGGAGGGAGGGAGGGAGCGCCCCCACCCAGCTGTGGCAGGGGTCTCTCTTTGCAGCTGAGTTTAACAATAATACTCAAAATTTTTAAAAATGTTATTATTCAATATTAAACATTTATAATATTTTTTACATTATGTACACAGCATCTTTTATAATTAATAAGTTCCTGATAGAGAAAACAGCTGGCTAATGATGTTATGTAAACTAAAAACGTTCAAAATGGGGCCCAGAGCTTCCGGGGTCTCAACTTCTCCAGGATCAAATGGAGAGAAATGCCCAATTTGGCCTGAGGCTTTTACCTAGCAAATATATCCCATGGAAAGGAAAAAAACTAAGAAATTAGAAGGTATTGTCCCTACACCAGGGGTCAAACCCAGGCCACTGAGGTGAAAACGGGAATTCTAACCGCTAGCCCACATAGGAGGATGCAGTAACTGTTTCTCGTCTCTTTCTATATATATACATACATACACACATACATCGCTCATCAGCTTAGCATCCGCACGTCGCAAAATGCAGTTAATTGTCCAGAGCGTCTCATGTGTGGAATCCCGTTCTCATTGCGCCTGCACGAGCCCCGGCCTCAAGGCGCTGCTTTTCTCCAGACTGCCCCGCCGTGGGAACACGAGGTGGGCAGGGAAGTCCCCCGAGGAACTGGAGTCCGGGCGGTTTGCTGACGTCGCCTGGGTACGGGCCGATCCCGCTGGAATTGCTTGACTTTCAACCTCAGCTGACATCTAAAATAAAGGACCCCACCCAGTACCGGGGTTCCACGTGAATCTTTCCCGTAGAAAAGCATGTTATCTTTTTGGCTTCAAAATCTTACTGGTTGGCACTTAATTTGATAGCTGGATTTTGTTCTGAAATTCAACAAAATGTGTGGGAAGGGATGTCCTTTTTTCCTCATCAAGGGGATTTCTTCTGAGTGCTTCACTGAAGAGCTCAAGCTCAACATTCCCCCAAACCAACCACAAATCTGCCCTATGTGACTAAAGTAGATGTTAAAGACTCAAGAATTGAAACAGGTGCCTGTCTTAACTGACAGTAAAATCAATGAAATGATGGAAGCTGAAAATATGGTTACAGGTATACACTGGGATTAAGGGAAAGAAAAAGGTGGCATCTCAAATCAGCAGTAAGGGGTTGACCACAGTGTGTTGGACCTATGGTAAAAAAGATGAATGCCTCAACTGAACCCACAATGGTTCTTGAGGAAACGACTGGAGAATTCCTTTATACTACATCAATTACGACCCCAAATCCAGAAATCATAAAACTGGTTGATAAATTCAAGTTTATTTAGAAAAAAATGACTAAGAAAAAAAAACTAGCTCTCACCCTATTCATTAAATTGTTCAATTTTCATACAGTTTAATGTATTTTAATTTTCAATAAAATTGTTAAAAAAAACACCACCATAAACAAAGTTAAGACAAACTGGGTAAACACATTTACACCTCATGTTATGAACAAAGAACTAATTTCCCTCAAATACAAAAATTAGCTCCTGCTAAAAATATCAACAAACAATAAGAAAATTAAGCAGGACAGAGTTCCCAGTACAGGAAATACAACTGGCCCTTCAAACAAATTGAGAGGCTGGGTTTCACTTCTGAAAATATAAAGGCAGGTTTTTAAAAACCTGAAAGGTCTCAGAGTTCCCTTAAAAATCTAAGTCATATCTTTTTTACTTTCTGGGTTAAAATCTGCCAAGGGCTACCCATCTACTCAGATGTGTTTTTATTGATGTGGACTCATCCGTGTATGATTTTTCTCTTCATTAAAATCTGTTTGGAGGATTTCGTGAAACTTAAGCACTATTTTTTGTCCTTCCCTGCCACTAGGTGTGCAGTATTTCATCCTGTAATGAAACCACAGCTGATCTATCCATGATGTGCTGGCTGTTCACTAATATGAACTAACTTAATGGCTTTGCACCTGTCCCACATGAATGTGTCCTAGAAAAACACAAGCTTCTAGAAGTGGTTTCACAGTAGTGACTTTCAACATTACTCAGTTTGCCTCTTCAAACTTTCATACCTAACAAAAGTTGGAAACATGCAGACCAGAGATATTTTAAGGAGGGGGGATTAGCTGAGGCAGGGCCATCTGAAAAGGAAGGCCCAAGGTAAGGCAGCCACAGGAAGAACTGCTTGCTGTCCTGCCTCTGTGGTCCAGGTTAGGCATCCCCAAGCTCCAGGTTTTTAAGTTTCTCCTGTAGCCCCTGGAGCTGGCTTCGACCCCAAATGATGCAGATCTGAAGGTTGGCCATGTCTATAGCCAGTTGCAGGCCTAAAAGAAGAGGTGAGATTGTTATCATGGTATCTGTGGTGTGACACTTGTCTCAAGGGCTCTGGATATCCCCAGGGACTGGAAGGGCCCCAGGCCTCTCTGGCCTCCACACTATTCCTACAACACTCCAGGTATAGCTTTGATTGACTACTCCAGAACCTTGCTGGACTCACCTTCACCTCCTTCAGGTCTTTGCTAACATGTCACCTCCCAAAAAGGAATATTTGACCCCCTTATATCATCTACCAAGAACAAAAAAGTCACAACCATGACACTGTCTCATGCCCTTATTTCCTTCCTCCATCATCACTTCCTCACTGCTCTTGCCCTCTCTCCTTCCACTTGTTTTGTTCCTCCACCCCCAAGAGTGATCCATACTCTGGGTGGCTTTCGCTTGATTTCTCTGGTGCATCACTTGTCCTCCGGATCCTCCACATGGCCCAGTCACTGGCCAGTCCTGTCTTCAACCTGCCTGACTGAAGGCCACACATCTGAGTCCTTCCTCCAGAAAACATTTTCTCCTCTCGGCTTCTTGGATTCTTTGCTCTCTGGTCATTGCTCCTGCCTCACTGCTACATCTCAGTCTCAACTGGCTTCTTCCCTCACTCTCTCTGACCTTCTGTCCACACTCCTGGGTCCTCTGCTTATCCCAACCCATCTCAGCTTTAATGCTGCATCTGTGTCAGAATCTTGAGAATTTAAACACCAGTGTTATTTGGTGGGCTCCCAAATCTCTCTCTCTAGACCAAGCCTCTTCCAATCATCAGATACATGGGCCCAATCACTTGCTCAAAATCTCTACCACACAGCACAAGGAACATACCCACCACCCAACTCCTAACTTCCCTTCCACTGAGGCTCTACAGCCCTCCCACACCACATGAAGGCAGCTCCATCCTCACAGGTGTTTTGGTTGTACACAATGGACTCATCCTTTGCTCCTCTCCTTCCCTTACTCATGATCTGCCAAGAAATCCTGTGGCTTCTACTCCCAGAACATGCAGGTTCCCACCACTTATCCTGCCCTCCAGTGCTTCTGCTTGCATCTTAAGCATGGCTGCTCCCTGGTACTTGCTTCCTCCCTCTGCTCTAGTTTATTCCCAAACAGCACCCATAGGATTCCTGTCACCCTCTGCTCAGAGCCACCCCATCACTCCCAAAGTCCTCATCAGGGCCTACACAGCCCTAAAATCAACTGGGCCTAGCCCCCTATGACCTCAATTACTGCACTCCCTGCTGCACCAACTCCACTCCAGCCCAATGGCCTCCCCCTGCCAGTCTAGAAGCAATCTTGCCTCAGGGCTTTTGCCTGGCTGATCCCTCTGCCTAGAACACTGTTACCCCAGATCACCCACAAAATTCTCTCCTTCATCTCTTCAGAGAGGCCTTTCCAGGCTACCCTTCATAAAACAGCTCCCCAGCCCACTCCTGTCCCACTCCATCCACCATGCCCCATCTTCACAATAGTCCTTTATACCTGTTATTATATATAAAATATATAATAAAATTTATGTTTATGTTCTTATTTATACTTATTTATTTGTCTACTTATTTGCATGCTGTCCTTCTCCCCTGAACAGAATTTATATTCTACAAGGGATGTTTGTTTCATTTCTTCCTGTACCCTCAGAACGATCATGAGCCTGGAGCACTATGACTAATAAATGTTTTCTGAAAAAAAAAAAGCAGGTCTGCAAAAAATGTCTGCAACAGAGAGAACCTGCAAAATACTTTGCTGACTAACCTTGGTCCTGGCACTGGTGCCTCAGTGCTCCCTGTAGAAAGAGGGTCTGTATTTGGCCCAGGGCCACATGGCTGACTGGCAGTGTCCACTTACCCTCCTGGAAGCTGGCTTGGGCCTGCCGGAGACTGTGAGGAACTAGGATTCCAAACCAGTTCAGGGGATCCTGGGGGGCTGGGGAGGGCTCCAGCTCTGGGGTCCTGGTGAGACCCTTGCGCCTGCGCAGAGCTAGAATAAAAAAGGCTAGAGGTTGAGGATCTTGCCACCTGGCCTTGTCTTTTCAGTGACAATGTTGAAAGTGATCTGAGATCAGGATCCATTAAATATTGACAGTTGGAAAATCCCCCCAGCTTTTATGTTCTGGAAAACAGCTTACCACAAAGAACCACACTATCCCTTGTGATTCAGATTAGTCTCTGTCCACTCTTTTTCAGGACTCTCATAAAACCATCAGGTGATACCCTTTGTACAAGTGACAAGGCTACACACTGACCTTTCCATTTACCTGAACATGCTGAAAGGCTCCAACTCTAACTCTTGTGAATAAACTGAAATTATAAGTTTGTCCCTTGAATCTAGCTAGACACAGAGATAAACATTTTCTGTTCAGCTAAGACTTCCCAATTGCAAAACAATCCCATCCGTAAAGGACCTCGCCTGTAAAATGTCTATTTCTCTCTACAAAAGTCTAAGGCAAAAACCCAGCCCTGCTGACACATCCTATTCTTCTGATCTGGGGTGCTCTCTCTGTCCCAACAGCCTTAATAAAATCATCTCCTCAACTGTCCTGTGCATTTTTTCTTTGACATCGGGAGGAAGAAGGGGAACTCACCTGCCTCCCGGGGCCCCACCTCCTCTGGGGTCTGGCGGCCGGCTCTCACCACCCACAACTTCTGGATTCCTTCTTGGGCCTCACTGAGAACCGAGAAAGGAGAATGGGCGTTTAGTGGCCCCGGCTTGGATCCTGCCCGCCCACCTCCTCCAGGATTCAAGGCTCCTCACCTGGTGCACAAGCGGACCTGAGGCTGCATGCGGGAGGCATACTGCAGAGGCCCTACCGCCTTGTTGCCCATGGCGTAGCGAGCTTTGGAGAGGGACAGCCAGCCCTAGGAAGAGGGAGGAGAGCGGTGAAACTCAGCTTACCTCCTCCTGCCCGCCCGCCGCCCGCCCCAGGCTCCCACCTCCTCGACCCGGGCGTTTAGCGCTGCCCGCTTCGCCTCTAGTTCCTCCAGGTCCCCGAGAAGCTGTAGAAGCAGAGCATCCAGCTCGGCCCGAATGCCCGTGGCCGCCATGGTACCACCAAGCTCAGGGCCGGAGTCATCGTCCTCTCAGGCCGCCCAATCACCGCCCGCCATGCTGCATGACAGCCAATAGGCGCGCGTGTCCGCCTTCAGAAAGGGCGTCCCACTGGGCCGAAACGCCGCGGGGATGAGGTCCCGGGCGGCCGCGCGAGCGGCGTTTGTGCTGGGGGATCGCTAGCCTGTTCCCCAGCCGGGCAGCCAGCCAGAGCTGTAGGTGGTTCCGAGTCCGCCTTTTTAAAAGTAGAACTGCCACTGTGGCGACGGAAGGAGGCGTAGCTATGTGGCAACCATTTTAAGAAAGGAGACGCTTTGAATTTAATTCCAGAAGGCTACGTTCAGGCCAGTTGTTGTCCTGCTTTTTTCTTTGCTTGGCTTTGTGAGCAGCCAACTATTTTGATTTCAGAGGTTCGTCACCTTAAATTGGGCATCCGGCAGACCTAAGCAGGTAGTGAGGCGACGGGCGGGCCTCTTTGTTAACGGCAGCCCAGCCTATCGGCGGCTCCACAGGGCGTGCGCCTCCGGACTGGCCAATCGCCGTACGACTCGACCCACCTTCCGCCATGCTAACGCTGGGCATGTGCCGCAGCGGCAAGACCTAGAGAGGCGTATTCGTCCGCCTTGGTTGAGGGCGTTGCGCAGCGGTGCTGGCCGATTCTCCTGGGCCCACGTGGAAGCAGCGCTCAGGATGGTAGGAAGGACGTCTGAGCTCTGGCTCTGGAGGTGGGGGCTCGCGGGAGGCTGGGGGCGGGTCGGGGAACACCGGGGCCGGGAGGCTTACCGGAGCCGGGGTTTCCCAGCTGCGCCGGGAGGCCCGCCTGCGCCGGGAGTACCTGTATCGGAAGGCCCGCGAGGAGGAGCGGCAAGCGGCGCAGGACCGGAAGGAGAAGGTGCGGCGGGCGCTCGAAGGTACGTCTGTCCCGCCTCCGCGCCGCGCTCCTGTCATTGTAAAGACCATACGGTGTAAACGCGTTTACTTAGCACTTGTGTTAGTGTGACCCAGCATCTTTTCAAGTATTCTCTGGCCATTCTCTTAACCTGTTGGGTCTTCCTGATTGTTTGCAAATGCCCCTCCCTTGATGGTGTGAATTACTTGTTATTTATGATGCAGTACCCTATTTTACAGCTTGCCTATTATTTTTGCTAACCGTGTGTATGCAGTTCTTCCCAAATTTAAAGTTTTCCCATGGTCCTTTAGATATTTTGACCCCCGTGATTTTTCTTGCTGCCTTTTTTAGTACAAGGTAATAAGAATGTTTATCTTTAGCGCTTTTATGATTATCCTGCATTGTAAAACTGTTCATCCGTGTAGAGCTTAATTTTGTTTGCGTTGTAGATTAGGAATCTGACTTTGCCGCATTTTTTCCACTTTCTATTTGCTCTACTAATAGTTTGTCACACATGCCCAATTTGGAGCACCGTATTTATCCCTATTTTGTTGGTACTTATATGGGTGGAGCTTTGTTTCCAATCTGATGATTCATCAATATAGAATCACTACGATTTTCCTAGGTTTCAGACATACAAAGAACTTGTGGTATGTATACCTTTAGGTTAACCGTAATGTTAAATGCCTGTGACCTATCTACCCATGTTGAGAAATGAAAAATGGTCAATATATTGAAATTCAGGAATATTTTCTCCAGTTTAGATAATCAAAATATTGAATATTGTTTAAAAATATACTTGGCTTGCTTGTACGTGTATGCGCATGCACTCTTAGATCATACTTGTTTGTATTCCTAATCATATTGGTAGGTTTTTAGTTTGTTTTTTTTTTTAATTCTACTTAGTTTTTATTAATTTATATTCAATGTAAATAGCCACATACGGCTTTGGGAAACTATATTGGAAAGCCCAGTTCTAGTGTATTCTTCGTGAATATTTTTTTTATTATTCATTTTATTATCATTAATCTACAATTACATGAACATTATGGTTACTAGACTCCCCCCTTCACCAACTCCTCCTCCCCAAAAACCCCATTACAGTCACTCTGTCCATTAGCGTAGTAAGATGCTGTAGATTCATTACTTGTCTTCTCTGTGTTGCACATCCCTCCTTGTGGCCCCCCCACATTATACATGCTAATCGTAAGACCCCCTTTCTTTTTCCCCTGCCCTTATCCCTCCCTTCCCACCCCTCCTGCCCAGTCCCTTTCCCTTAGGTAACCGTTAGTCCATTCTTGGGTTCTGTGATTCCGCTGCTGTTTTGTTCCTTCAGGTTTGTTTTGTTGTTGTACTTCACAAATGAGTGAAATCATTGGTACTTGTCTTTCTCCACCTGGCTTATTTCACTGAGCATAATTCCCTCTAGCTCCATCCATGTTGTTGCAAATGGTAGGATTTGTTTACTTCTTATGGCTGAATAGTATTCCATTGTGTATATGTACCACATCTTCTTTATCCATTCACCTATTGATGGACACTTAGGTTGCTTCCATTTATTGGCTATTGTAAATAGTGCTGTGATAAACACTGGGGTGCATCTGTCTTTTTCAAACTGGGCTGCTGCATTCTTAGGGTAAATTTCTAGGAGTGGAATTCCTGGGTCAAAT